ACGAATAATCCATTTTAAAATAAAATTTGAATATATTTCTCTTCAAAGAAGATATACAAGTGACCAATAAACCCATGAAAAGATGTTTGATGTCCAGTCAAGATGGAAGTGTAGGTAAACACAGCTCGCTCTTTGTACAACCACATCAAAATTACAACTATGTTACAGAAAAACCATCACTTGGTACTGTCAGAAATCGAGTTGAATGGAAGTCAGACAACTATGGAATTAAAGAAACCACATCCATCAAGACTGGTAGGAGGGGTGGACACATGGAATGGGCTGGTCCCACATCCACATGTGGTGGATAAAAATTCAGGAGGGATATCCCAGTACCACACCAGGCCCCACACCCCAGGGTCCAGTGCCAGTAAAATAAGTCCCATAACTTCTGGCTGTAAAAATCAGCAGGGATTCAGTCAGTGAAAGAAAATGTGGGAATTCCAAGTAATTCCTCTTAGAAGATCCACACATGAACTTACTCAGACTCACCCCCTCTGAGCTCCAGCACCGGGGTAGCCCCTTGAAAGGAACCAGTGGTAGACAGGGAGGAAATGAAGTGGCCGGTGTCAGAGCAGGAGATGGAGGACAACTTTCTCCCAAACAGAATGGTGGGCAGAGGCCATTGTTCCTTTTCTGAACCTTCCTCCCACAGAAACACAGAGCTGGCAGGTGGATGCCCTATCTGAGACTCCATTAACCTGGCTCACACTGTTTGCCCCACTCTGGTGTTTCCCAAAGATTCCATGCCACTCAACTTACAGGCCCACCCAAAATGTTAACCATGACTTTTCCATATGAATGGCTGGTCTTAGCTCATGCTTCACAATTTCCTAAATCCTCTCAAACAAGCAACAGGTAGCCTTAGCCAGCCCCCATACCTCTTGCTATTGGCCCCAGGCCCAGCTTTCGCAGCAGCCAGCCTAGGGTCACAGCTTGGCTTTGCCTGAGAACCAACACAAGTAGCAGCCATCTGCAGACTGCTTTGTAGGTCAAGCTGGGAGGTCCTGGGCAGAACACAGGTGGTAGCTGACATTGGCTTGCATCACCTGGGAAGCCCTAGAGCCTGAGCACCAAGTGTACATCTACAGACCACAATGGAGCACCACCACCCTGCCCCTGCAAAGATGGTCCTCTAAAGAGGGAGGATATTGGTGGTCAGTGGTCACAGCCAGTACTTGAGGCTGACTGGCCTGCATAAATCCCTTCCATTCACCTGCCAGTAACAGTCAAGGCTCAACTATACGAGGAGGGTATATTCAGCCCACGTAGAGGGTGTACCTCAAGTATCCAGCTTGGGTGATAGGGGAGACTGTACCACGGGACCCTATAGGACACCTACTACATTAGGCCACATGACCAAGACATGGAGTCATAGCAGCTCTACCTAATATATACAAACAAACACAGGGAGGCTGTCAAAATGAGAAGACAGAGAAACAAGGCCCAAATGAAAAAACAGATCAAAATGCCAGGCAAAGAACTACACAAAATGGAGATAAACAATCTCTATTAGATGCAGAGTTCTAGAGCATATAAAAGATTCAATCATAAATGAAGGATACACTAATTGAAATAAGAACAATTTATAGGGAATCAACAGTAGAGTGGATAAAGCCAGGAATCAAATCAATGGTTTGGAACCTAAGGAAGTAAAAAACAACCAATGAGGACAATAACAAGAATAAAAAATTAAAAAAAAGAGGATAGTGCAAGGAGTCTCTGGGGACAACTTTAAGCATTCTCACATTAGCATCATAGGGGTACCAGAAGAAAAAGAGAAAGAGCAAGAAATTGAAAACTTAATGGAAAAAATAATGAAAGAAAACTTTCCTAATTTGGTCAAGGAAATAGACATGCAAATCCAGGAAGCACAGAGAGTCCCACACAAGGCAGATACAAAGAGGCCCACTCCAAGACACAGCATAATTAAAACGTCAAAGGTTAAAGATGAAGAGAGAATCTTAAAAGCAGCAAGAGAAAAGATGTTAGTTATGTGCAGGGGAGTTCCCATAAGACTATAAGCTGATTTCTCAAAAGAAACTTTGCAGGCTAGAAGGGATTGGCAAGAAATATTCAAAGTTCTGAAAAGCAGGGACCTATAGCCAAGATTGCTTTACCTAGCAAAGCTATCCTTTAGAATCGAAGGGCAGATAAAGAACTTCCCAGGTAAGAAAAAACTGAAGGAGTTCATCATCACCAAACCATTATTATATGAAATGTTAAAGGGACTTATTTAAGAAAAAGAAAAATGCCCTGGCTGGTGTGGCTCAGTGGATTGAGTGCTGGCTTGAGAACCAAAGCATTGCCAGTTCCATTTCCAGTCAGGGCACAGGCCTGGGTTGCAGGCCAGGCCCCCAGTAGGGGTGTGTGAGAGGCAACCACACACTGATGTTTCTCTCCTTCTCTTCCTCCCTCCCTTCCTCTCTCTCTAAAAATATATAAATAAAATCTTTAAAAAGAAAGAAAGAAAAAAAAGAAATCAAGACTACGAATAATAAAATGGCAATAAATACATATCAACAATTGAATGTAAAAAACAATATAAGGAAATAAGAACAGAGACAGAATCATGGATACAGAGAGCGTTTTGATGGTTGCCAGATGGGAGGTGGGTGTGGGGGAATGGGTGAAGAGGTGAGGGGATTAAGAAGTACAAAGAGGTAGTTACAGAATAGACATGGGAATGTAAAGTACAGTACAGAAAACAGAGTAACCAAAGAACTTCTATGTATGACCAATGGACATGAACAAAGGTGTGGGGATTTCCTGAGGGAGTGGAGAGTGCTGGGTGGAAGGGGACAAAGGGGGAAAAATTGGGACAACTGTAATAGCATAATTATTTAAATATACTTTTAAAAAAAGAAAAAATATATAATAGGAAAAATGCCTTGACATGCATGGCTCAGTAGGCACTTTCCTATAAAGTAAAAGGTGGCCAGTTTCTTGGTTTGGGCATATGCCTGGGTTGCAGCCCATTCCCCAGTTAGGGCATGTGAGAGAGGCAGCCCATCAATGTTTCCCTCAAACATCAATGTTTCTCTCTTCTCTTTCTCCTTCCCCTCCTCTCTCTCTAAAATAAATAAATAAAATCTTTAAAAAGATAAAGTAATAGGAAAAATACAAACCAACAATCTATAATTCTATACTCAGCAAAATATTTTCAAAAGTGAAGGTAGGAAAAAAGTTTCAAAAAATGAAATCTAAGAGAATCATTGCTAGCAGACCAGTACTAAAAGAAATATTAAAGAAAGTTCTTTAGACTAAGAGAAAATGACATGATACAACTTAGTCTTACACAAAAAATAAACAGAACTAGAAATGGTAAATACATGCATAATTACTAAAACTTTTTCATTAAAATGTACTTTAAATATTATTGACTATTTAAGTAACTACAACAAAATACTGTGCAGTTTACAACATACACAGAAATAAAATAGCACAAAGGATGGAAGTGGGAAATGAAAGTATGTTTTTATAAGTTTCTCACATTGAAAGTTAAGTAATATGATAGTATTTGAAGTTAGATTTGATATATTAAAAATATAAATGTATATAATGTAACCCCTAAAGCTACCACTAGGAAAAAAGGTAAAGATATACAGGTGATTGAAAACAAAAGAGATAAAATGTAATACTAAAATAACCAACCTAAAGACAGAAAAAGGGCAGGAAAGGATCAAAGAATGGATTGTACAAATAAAAAAAGAGCAAGAAAGAAGTCTAAAAACCAACCACACCTGCAATTATATTACATACATATAATGGAAACTCTAAAGACTATTTGAAAATCAGGAATTGTCAAACTGCATAAAAAACACAGACTACAACTACATGTAAAGACATAGATTTGAAGTAGAAGGAAAAAAAAGATATGCCATGCAAATACTAATCAAAACATAAATTGGCTACATTAATGGTTGCATTAATATCAAAGTAGACTTCAGAATACAGGTTATTACGAGACATGAAAAACACTTCATACTATAACAAGATCACTTCATCAAGAAGACATAATAATTTCAATGTGCACAGACTTCATAATGGACATCCATTTTTTAAAATTGATTTCAGAGAGAAAGGAAAGGGCGGGGAGAAACATTGACCTGTTGCTCCACCCATTCATGCCTTCCTGGTTGATTCTTGTTATGTGCCTTGAATGGGGATTGAACCTGCGAACTTGGTGTATTAGGAAGCAACACTCTAACCAAGTGAGCCACCTGGCCTGGGCCAATCACAGAGATTTAAAATGTGTAACAAAACCTGAAGAAATGAAGTTAAAAACAGATAAATCCATAACTATAGGTGGAGATTCCAACACTTCTTTCTTACTAATTTACAAAACAACTGGACACGTTGGGAAGACTTGAACAACACTAATCAACTTGACTTAATTGACATTTATAGACACTATACTCAACAACAGCAAAATACAACTGTTTTTCAGGTACACATGAAACATTTACCAAAACAGAAATCATTCAAAGTATGTTCCTTGATCACAATGTCATTAAAGTAACACAAAGATAACTGGAAATTCTCAAATATTTTAAAATGAAAAAACATATTTCTAACAAATTGTTGGTTAAAAAAACCTTGCCAGAGAAATTATAAGGTATTTTGAGATGAATGTGAATTCATACCAAAATGTGTGGAGTGCAGTTAAAGAAGTGCTTGAAACAACTTACAGCTTTAAAGGTTTACATTATAGAAGAAAAAGTTCTAAAAATCAATAATTTAAGCTTCCACTTAAAGAATCTAGAAAAATAATAACAAATTAAACCTAAAACAAATGAAAGGCAGGGGAAAAAAAGGAACAGAAATGAACTGAATAGAAGGTGGCCAATCAATAGAAAAAAAAACTAATGATACCAAAAGTTAGTTCTTTGAAAGAAACCTACAAATGACCAGTAACATGAAAGAATGCACATCACTACAGATCTTATACACATTAAAAGAATAACAGGATACTAAATATTTGAAATCATCCAACCTACCTCTTCAAAGGAATATTTTTCTACAGTGTGAAGAGCATCCTGTGTCTCATTCCACCCTCCGATAGAATAGATGCAGTCATTGAGTGCAGCCACCCCAAGATATGCTCTCCGGGTTCCCATTGGAGGAAGTGGAGACCAACGCTTGGAAAGTGGATCATAAACTTCAAAAGAACGAAGCTCTATTCCTTCATTGCTGATGCCCCCGATTACATAAATTAAACCTGGAAATGGAATATTTTTGTTTAGATACTATAGAACATAGGATATAATAATTAGCAAAAGTAATATTGTGATTTCAGTGCTATGCTGATACTATAAGTAGGGCTTATTAATTTTTTAGGAGAAATCAACTTCTGTCTAGTTTATCATGGCTCACATTTAAGCATGTTACAAAGAATTAGGGGTATGAATTTAAAGTGGAACTGAATTTTCAAAGAACCTGATTATGCTATTAAATGTCAGACAAGGATTTCCCATCTTGTCTGCTTGATGATCTCAACTTCCAAATGCACTGCTACCATGGATAGGTAAAAAAGGAGAAGGAAAGGGACTCTTTTTCCTGCTAAAAAATATTATGCACTAAACCTGGGAATGGCATAACTATGTTTGGAGACAGCCTATCTGTTGCTCAGATGGACATAAAATAGAGAGTACAACAGAATGGAATTCACAGAGAATCCCTTTTTAATTTTGATTGAAACTAATGGTTCTGACCATCTATCATTATTTTTGAGTGCCCACTGTGCTTCCCATGTTCTGAAAGTGAGGAGTTATATGGCATTTTAAAAAATGTGAGCTAAATGTTAATAAATTTGGGTTCCAGTTCCAGCTTTGCCAGTAAACAGCTATGAAGAAAGACAATTCACAGCCTTCCTAATCTTCAACTTCTTCATTTATAAATGAAGGCATTGAAATAGTTTATCTCCAAGATGCTTCTGTAGCTCCATGATTTTAGCTGGGCAGATAAAAATAATAAATATAGAATAACTAAAGAACACCATAACATTGAATAACAGAATATAGTCTGCACCATGTAATTTGAACATTAAATGCTAGTGTAAATTTGAGAAGGTACTCACAAAGCAGGAAGAACTTGAGCTGGGAACAAAGCAGGCTGAGTTGTCATATAACAATGGGCAGATTGCTTCCTACTCTGCAGGGACATATAAATTTGCTCTCCAACTCTGGACAGAGAATCAGGTTTTATTTGACAGTGCTTACTACCTCTCAGGTATAGTAGACAATTAAAATAATGTCTACTATACCTGATATACCATTTTAATATTCAGTACAACATTTTTCAAAACTACCATAGCATTATATTCTGTGTGGACTGAATCACAATGTACCGTTTAAAAATAACACTGAGGCAGCCTATAAGAGGAGACTGTGAAGATTGTTTTTGATATTCTCTCCCTATTTAGAAACACTAAGGCCTGCATGGGAGAGAAAATTATTAACAATAAAGAATGACATTTTAAATGCTTATTGTCCTAGTCAAGTATTTTTGCCTATCTGGAATTTTAAATTCTAGCTTTGTTTATTTTGAAAAAAATAGATTTTTTTGGCAATACAGAAATACAAAAATAAGAGGATAAACACAGAACTTCCATATTGTTAGTGTTAATCATTTAATACTAATAGACATATACTATACTTTTGTGCAAATAAAGCCTCAAGCTTAGTTTTTGAAAATATATATTTTTTTGAAACATATTTTATGCAGCAATTACCCTGCATTTCACAACAGCCAAAGTAGTAGCGTGACAAAGCCATGTTGCCAACTACTTCCCATTTATTTTCATCAGGATCAAATCGTTCAATGGTGTTCCCTATCTCAGCTCCAACCCATCCACCTGTAACAAAACAGAAAGATTTTATGTCTGTGATAAAGGAATCTTATTTATCAAAACAGCCTTAGAAAACTTTTGATCTTACAACTTTGTATTATGGATGATTATCATATGTAAAAGAGGGTTTATTTGTCCAAGATCACAGAAGAAGTTAGAATTTGACTGAGTAGAACTCAGATTTTTTAACTCTCTGCATATTTTCAATTAGAAATTTAATATAAAACAAAACAAAAACTTCAACATATTGCATAGGAAATTTGGTATTTTGCAAAACAATCATTTTTTTTTTGCACAACTATCTTTTAAAACAACTTCTGCATATTCAGAATGCTTATATAATCATGAGATTTAAATATCAGCTGAAGTGCTTCATTGGACATCTCACCTACATTTTATCTCTATCTCTCTTTAAGAATTCCACATTTGACAATATTCCCCAAGTAATAACATTTTGAGAATAGGAGTTTATAAAGCTGAAAGGATACAAGTTTCTTATAGGAATGAAGGAAAAGTTCTAAAGTAATTAGAATCTGATTAAAAATTTAAATAATAGGACTTCTGGCCAAGATGGAAGCATAAGTAGATACACTTCGCCTCCTCCCATAACTAAAAGAAGGACAACAACAAATTTAAAAACAAAAAACCACCAGAACTGCCAGAAAACCAAACTGTATAGAAGTCTGACAACCAAGGAGTTAAAGAAGAAGCATTCATCCAAATTGGTAGGAGGGGTGGAGACAGGCGGCCAGGGCAAAGAATACATGTGGCAAGGTGGCAGCTGGAGGACAAGGTGGGCAAGATATCAACTGGTGGTCCCACATCTGTGTGTGGATAAATCGGGAGGACAGACAGGAGTGAGAAAGAGACCACAAACCAGGGTTCCAGCATGGGACAAGAAAGCCTCAAAACCTCTGGCTATAAAAACCTGTGGGGGTTGGGGCAGCAGAAGAAACTGCCAGCGCTACAGGAGTGTTTGTTGAAGAGACTCACAGGGTCCTAGAACATACACAAACCTATCAACCGGGAGTCAGCACCAGAAGGGCCCAATTTGCTTATGGGTAGTGTGGGAAGTGATTCAAAGCCAGTCGAGAACCAAGCAACTGGCATTGTTTCCTCTCTGATCCCCCCTCCACATATAGTGCCACAACCCAGGGACCTGGGTTGCCCTACCCTGGTAAATACCTAAGGCTCTGGCCCCTTACAACATAACAGGTACACTGAAACAAAGAATTATGGCCCAAATGAAAGAACAGATCAAAACTCCAGAAAAAGAACTAAGTGACAAAGAGATAGCCAACCTATCAGATGCACAGTTCAAAATGCTGGTAATCAGGATGCTCACAGAAATGGTTGAGTATGGTCACAAAATGGAGGGAAAAGTGAGGGCTATGCAAAGTAAAATAAAGAAAAATATACAGGGAACCAACAGTAAAGGGAAGGAAACTGAGACTCAAATCAACAATTTGGAGCAGAAGGAAGAAATAAACATTCAACCGAAACAGAATGAAAAACGAAGAATTCAAAAAACTGAGGAGAGGCTTAGGAACCTCCGGGACAACTTTCAACGTTCCAACATCTAAATCATAGGGGTGCCAGGAGAAGAGGTAGAGGAAGAAACTAAAAACTTATTTGAACAAATAATGAAGGAGAATTTTCCCAATCTGGCCAAGGAAATAGCCTTCCAGGAAGTCCAGGAAGCTAAGAGAGTCCCAAAGAAGTTGGACCCAAGGAAGCACACACCAAGGCACATCATAATTACATTCCCCCAGGATTAAAGATAAGGAGAGAACCTTAAAAGCAACAAGAGAAAAGAAGACAGTTACCTACAAAGGAGTTCCCGTAAGACTATCAGCTGATTTCTCAAAAGAAACCTTGCAGGCAAGAAGGGGCTGGCAAGAAGTACTCAAAGTCATGAAAGGCAAGGACCTACATCCAAGATTACTCTATCCAGCTAAGCTGTCATTTAGAATGGAAGGGCAGATAAAGTGCACCCCAGATAGGGCCAAGTTAAGTGAGTTGATCATAACCAAGCCCTCATTATACGAAATGTTAAGGGGACTTACCTAAGAAAAAGAAGATGATCAAAACTATGAACAGTAAACTGACAACAAACTCACAACTATCAACAACTGAACCTAAGCAAACAACTAGAACAGGAACAGAATCACAGAAATGGAGATCAAATGGAGGATTATCAGTGGGGAGGGGGAGTGGGAGTGGGGAGAAAAGGGGCAAGGTACAGGGAATAAGGAGTATAAGTGGTAGGTACAAAATAGACAGGGGAGAGTTAAGAATAGTACAGGAAATGGAGAAGCCAAAGAACCTACGTGTATGACCCATGGACATGAACTAAGACGGGGTGCGGGGGGGCGGGGCGCGGAAATGCTAGTGGGAGGGGAGGTGCAGGGCAGAGGGGAATAAAGAGGAGGAAAAAAATGGGTCAACCGTAATAGCATAATCAATAAAATATACGTTAAAAAAATAAAATAGACTTTCAGTCAAGATAGCGGCATAGGTAAACACCTCCTTGCACAACCACATCAAAATTACAACTAAAATGTGGAACAACCAGTCCTGGCTGGTGTGGCTAAATGGATGAAGTGCAGGCCTGCGAACCAAAGGGTTGCTGGTTCAATTCCCAGTCAGGGCACATGCCTGGGTTGCAGGCTAGGTCCCCAGTAGGGGGTACATGAGAGGCAACCATACACTGATGTTTCTCTCCCTCTCTTTCTCTCTCTCCTCATCCTCTCTCTCTCTCTCTCTAAAAATAAATAAAATGTTTAAAAATAAATAAATAAATATAGAACCACCATCACCCAGAACTATCAGAAATTGAGATGAATGCAAGTCTGACAACTACGGAATTAAAGAAACCACATCTATCAAGATTGGCAGGAGGGGCAGAGTCATCAAATGGGCTGGTCCCATATCCACATATGGTGGATAAAAATTCAGGAGGGATATCTTGGGAGCAAGGAATACCAGACCCCACAGCCCAGGGTTCCAGCGTCAGGAAGGTAAGTCCACATAACTTCTGCCTACAAAAACTAGCAGGGACTGTGTCAATGGAAGAAATTTCTGGAGTTCCAAGCAGTTCCCCTTAGAGAACCTACTCATGGATTTACTCAGACTTACTCCCTCAGAGCTCCAGCACCAGTATAGCAGCTTGAAAGACACCAATGGCACACAGGCAGGAACAGAGGTGTCTGACAGCAAGGCAGGAGCTAGGGAAGAGCATTTTCTCAGGGAGAAAGACAGGCAGAGGCCATTGTCCCTTTTCTGAACCCTCCTCCGACAGAGCCACAGAGCTTGGCAGGTGGATGCCATATCTGAACTCAATCAATCTGGCTTAAACTGTTTACCCCACCCTTAAGATGCCCTGAGACTCGGTCCCATCCAACTTACAGGCCCACCAAACTGTTAACCATGACTTTTCCATATGAATGGCTGATTTTAGCTCATGCTTCACAACCTCCTAAATCCTCTCAAACAAGCAACTGCTGGCCTCATTAAGCCCCTAGCCCCTGTACCTATTGTTAAGTGGCCCCAGGCCTGGTACTAGCAGTACCCATCTTAGATTCGCAGCTTGGTTTCACCTGGGCATCTCCAAGCCCAGCTCAAGCAACAGCCATCTCAGATTGCCTTACAGCTCATGCAGGATGGCCCCAGGTAGAACACAGGTGGGAGGTGCCTACAACACCCAGGACACCCCAGAGCCTGCACACCCAGTGGACAGCTATAGACCACGTTGGAGCACCGCCGTCCAGCTCCTGCACAGCTGATCCTCCAAGGAGTGCAGGAGTCGGTGGTCAGTGGTCACAGTCAATCCTTGCAGCTGACTGGCCTGGGTAAACCCTCCCATTGACCTGCCAACAGCAATCAAGGCTCAACTACAAGAGGAGGATGTATTCAGCCTACATGGCAGGCACACTTTGAGTGACAGGGGTGGTTGTGCCACTGGACCTTACAGGCCATCTATTACATTAGTCCATACTACCAAGACAGGGAGTCATAGCAGCTCTACCTAATACATAGAAACAAACACAGGGAGGCTGCCAAAATGAGAAGACAAAGAAACATGGCCCAAATGAAAGGATAGATCAAAACTCCAGAAAAAGACGTAAACAAAACATAGATAAGCAATCTATCAGGTGCAGAGTTCAAAGCAGTGGTATAAGGATGCTCAAGGAACTTAGTGAGGACCTCAACAACATAAAAAATATCCAGTCAAAAATGAAGAATATACTACATTAAAATAAAGAATAATATATAGGGAAACAACTGTAGAGTGGATGAAGCCAAGAATCAAATCAATGATTTGGAACATAAGGAAGCAAAAGACAACCAATCAGAACAACAACAACAAAAAAGAGGATCGTGCAAGGAGTCTCTGGGACAGCTTTAAGCATTCCAACATTTGCATCATAGGAGTGCTAGAAGAAGAGAAAGAGCAAGAAATTGAAAACTTAATTGAAAAAATAATGAAAGAACACTTCCCTAATTTAGTGGTGGAAATAGACATACAAGTCAAGGAAGCACAGAGAGTTCCACACAAGATGGATACCAAGAGGCCCACTCCAAGACACATCATAATTAAAATGTAAAAGGTTAAAGAGAAAAAGAGAATCTTAAAAGCAGCAAGAGAAAAGATGTTAGTTATCTGCAGGGGCGTTCCCATAAGACTATAAACTGATTTCTCAAAAGAAACTTTGCAGGCTAGAAGGGATTGGCAAGAAATAGTCAAAGTTCTGAAAAGCAGGGACCTATAGCCAAGATTGCTTTACCCAGCAAAGCTATCCTTTAGAATCGAAGGGCAGATCAAGAGCTTCCAAGAGAAGAAAAGACTAAAGGAATTCATCATCACCAAACCATTATCATGTGAAATGTTAAAGGCACTTATTTAGGAAAATAAAGAGATTAAATATGAATAACAAAATGGCAAAAAATACATATCTATTAACAGTTGAATCTAAAAAACAAACTAAGGAAACAAGAAGAACAGATACAGAATCATGGATATGGAGAATGTTTTTATGGTTGCCAGATGGAAGGTGGGTATTTGGGAATGGGTCAAGAGGTGAGGTGATTAAGAAATATAAATAGGGCCCTGGCTGATGTGGCTCAGTGGATTGAGTACTGGCCTGCAACCGAAGGGCTGCTGCTTCCATTCCCAGCTAGGGCACATGCCTGGGTTGGGGGCCAGGTCCCCAGTTGGAGGTGTGTGAGAGGCAACCAATCTGTTTCTCTTGCACATTGATGTTTCTCTCTCTGTCTTTCTCCCTTCCCCTCCCTATAAAAATAAATAAATAAATATCTTTTAAAGAAGACACATAGGTAGTTACAGAATAGCCATGGGGATGTAATGTACAGGATAGGAAATGGAGTAGCCGAAGAACTTATACGCATGATGCAGTCATGAACAATGGTGTGAGGATTGCCTGAGGGAGTGGAGGATGCTGGGGGGAGGAGGGCAAAGTAGGAATAATTGGGACAATTGTAATAGAATAATAAATAAAATAGAATTTAAAAATAGAATTTAAATAATATTAGATATCCTTAAATGAAGAGCATAATTACCCAAAGCATAGATAGCCCCATTACACACACACACTCCCAAACCACAGCGGGGGTGATTCATGGAAGCTACAGTTGTCCACTGTTTAGTAACTGGATCATAGCATTCGGTACAGTCAAAAATCATTGAATCTTTTTCACCTGAGTTAAAGAAAAAAGATACAAATGAGGAGGTTTAGTTGATGCTAATAGCCAAGAATGATATTTACAATATTCAGTAGCATGCTATGTTGTTAGAAATTCAACTATTATGTCTAATTTTATACTATTTACTAAAGTCATTTGCCCAGCAAGTGTTATTTTGAAACCATAGCACCATCATTTAGTAAAGCCCATTTAATGAAGCAATGGCATAATTTTCCTATTATCTATTTCTAATTCTACCACCAAACAATCCATTCGATTTGCATGTTGATCCTTGTAAAATTTGAGTTTTAATATAATCCTTATCTAGCAACAAATAGAAAATGAAGTTTTTAAAAAAGACAGCACGTAAGCCCTGATTGGTGTGGCTCAGTGGTTTGGGCATCATGCCTCAAAGCAAAAGGTTGTTGGTTCAATACATGCCTGGGTTGTAGGCCAGGTCCCCAGCAGAGGTCGTGTGAGCGACAACCAATCAATGTTTCTCTAGTGTATCTATGTTTCTCTCCCTCTCTTTTTTCTTCCTCTCCCTCTCTCTAATAATAAATAAAATTCTTTAAAGAACAATACACTCGTAATAGAATTTTAAAATATACTATATGTAGGAGTAATATAATCAAATATTGTACAAGACCTCTATGGTTAAAATTTATAAACTTTTTTTATTGATTTATTAAAGATTTATATATTTATTTTTAGAGAGAGTGAGGGGGGGAGAAAGAGAGGGAGAGAAACATGTGAGAGAGAAACATCCATCAGTTGCCACTCATATGTGCCCTGACCAGGGACCAAACCTGCAATCCAGGCATGTACCCTGACTGGGAAAAAAACTGGCGACCTTTCACTTTGCGGGATGATGCCTAGCCAACTGAGCCACACTAGTCAGGGCTATAAACTTTATTTTTTCCTTTTTTAATCCTCACCTGAGGATATATTCACTGATTCTAGAGAGAGAAGAAAGAGAGAGAGAGAGGGAGAGAGCGAGAGATTGACCGATTGCCTCCTGCATGCGCTTGACTGGGGCCTAACTGCAACCCAGGTATATGCCCTGACTGGGAATCAACAGTGACCTTTCGGTGCATGGGACAAAGCTGCAATCAACTGAGCCACACTGGCCAATTCTATTTAGATAAAATTTTAAATTAAGGAATAGCTAAATAAGTGAAGAAATGTATCATCTTTATGAATTAGAAGAGTCAATGTAAAGATGATTATCCACAAACTGACTTACAGATATAATCCCAATTTTTAAAATATCCTTTCATTTTCATTGCATTACACTTAACACACATAAAATTTACTGTCTCAACCATTTATAAGTTTACAGTTCAGTGATGTTAAACACATTCACATTGCTGTGCGGCCATCACAACCATCCATCCCATAACTCTTTCCATCTTGTCAAACTGAAACTCTATCCCTATTAAACAAAAACTCCTCATTTCCCCTGCCCCACCCCTGGTAATCACCATTATACTTTGTCTTTAGGATTTTAACTACTTTAAGCACCCTATACAAGTGGAATCATGCAGCATTATTTTCAAAAACAAACTGATTCTAAAATTGATATAGGAAGTACAATGGGCCAAGCACTCCAAGAAATAATAACGACACACTGACCTATCAGATAAGCTTATCAGACTTAAAAAAGAGCTATAGTAATTAATATAGGGATAGACAAAGAGATCAATGGAACAGAAATCTAGAAACAGACCCATACATAACTGATTACTTGGCATATGACAGTTTGTACTGCAAAGCAGTGGGGAAAAACAATTTTCAATGCTAGGATAATTGTTTATATAGATGTACAAAGATAAAAGTGGTTCCCTACTCACACTATTTATAAAAACTCAAATCCAGGTAGATTACTGACATAAATGTAAACAGAAAAACTATAAAATTTTAGAAAATAATAAAGGTATATATCTTTGTGACTTTGGAGCAGGGAAGAATTTCTTTAAAGAAGTACAAGAGCCCTGGCTGGTGTGGCTCAGTTGGTTGGAACTTCATTATATGAACCGAAGATCATGGTTCGATCTCCAGTCAGGGCACATACATAAGTTGCAGGTTGGTCCCAGTGGGGTATGTACGAGAAACAATCAATTGATGTTTCTCTCTCACGTCAATGTTTCTCTCTCTCTCTCTCACTCCTTACTTTCCCCTCTCTCTAAAATCAATAAGCTTCTCCTTGGGTGAGGAAAATAAATACATAAATATATACAAACATACAAGAAACACTGACCATAAAGGGAAAAAATAATAGAGTTGGCTACATTAAAATTAAAAACATGTGTTTATCAAAAGATCCCATAAAGTGTGAAAGGTGAAGCAGCAGAGTAGTAAAGATATTTGCAGCACATATAACTTTACAAGGGCCCAGAATCCTGAACGTATACAAAACTCCTACTGTACAGAAAAGAGTTAACACAGCAGGCCTGAGGTTGCCTATCCTTAGAAGGGTCTGCTTTGCAAGGTTGACCCTTGGCTGGAGTCTAGGAACTTGGCTAGTAAACAGTTTCCTACACGGATATAAAATTTTCCGTAAATAATGAGAGGGGCTTTTTGAAGTGATGAAAATGTTCTGGAATTAGAGGTGATGGTTGCACAACTTGGTGAATACACTAACAACCACTGAACTGTATGCTCTAAATGGTGAATTTTATGGTATGTGAATTATATCTTAATTTTTAAAAGTAGTATTTAGAAAATTAACCCAGATATGTATCTAGAAAGAAATAAACTTCTGTGATTATCTCTGGATGGTATAATTATAGTATGGGTGATTTTTCTTTTTTTTAAATTACTTTTTAAAGATTTTATTTATTTACTTGTAGAGAGGGGAAGGGAGAAAGAATGAGAGGGAGAGAAACATTGATGTGAGAGAGAAACATCAATCAGTTGCGTCTCATATGTGCCTCCCATCAGGACTGAACCCACAACTCAGACATTGACTGTGACTGGGAATTGAACCAGTAACCTTTCGCTTTGTGGGAGGATGCCCAACCAACTGAGCCACACAGTTTAGGGCTTTATTTTCTTTGTATATGCTTTCGTTTTAGCAAAATTTTCTACAACAAACCTGAATTACTTTGATAATAAAAATTATTTTAAGATTATATAATGAGAAATAAATCTTAAGATAGCAATGTTTGTAGTGTTAATAATAGCTAGCAAAGTAATAGAATTTTTGATAAGCCCCCAAAAACACTCTGTGGCATTAGGAAAGGGGATACATATATATGCATGTATCATATGGGACACTGTGACCCTAGATTAAACAGGGGAGTTCATGCAATACACAATTGCCAAAATATATACATAAAAAGAACTACTAGAGTTCTAGTCAAAGATTATATAGAATTATGATTTTAAGGCTTAAAACTCTAATTTCTTTGTTGGGATTTTCAGATGCACCATGAGATTTATTGATTTAATGAAGTTTTTCAGGGACAATTATGTCCTCTCCAAAGGATACAAATAAAGTATTTCCCGCTGACAGTATTACTGTCAGAAAATAATAACATTTTGACATAAAATTTTTAGTGTTTTAGACCGACCCATAGAAATAGAGCAAAAAGATTAGCTGTAAGAGTTAGAGATGAACTATCTCGACTTGTTGCTATAACAAAAAAATTATCTAGAAGTAAATATGGATGGTAAGTGTCAGCATTTTTTCTCCTTACATCCCTAATTATTTCCCTCCAACATGTAAATCTCCTTAATTTTATTTTATTCATTAACCATTTTATAATTCCCAATAATATTTTCAGAAAAACAACTTCAATCAAGGAATATATCCCAATGTCTAATTGACTTGTTTTTTATATACACCACTATGTAGGTAATTTAATTAAAAATTTGTAATGCAGCTTTCAGAATTTAAAAATTTTTATCATAAATGTTGGCCTAAATTTTGATGCCACATTTTATGAACAACTTTTCATTAGAACCAAACCTAAGTATTCTGCCTTACAATAAATCAAAGTATCTCTTTAGTCTGAAATATTCAATATCTTGTTTCCTTTTTATTTTTTCACCTATTTATTCAATAAATATTTAATAAGCACAACTGTACCTATGTATACCCTATAGTACCCAGCAATATATATAAGGCATATAAGAATTCAGACAACTTATAGCTAGAGACTAATAAGGTAAATAAGAAATTATCATTATTACCTCCAATAGCGTAGACCATCCCTCCCAGAACTGCTACTCCCAGCCCACATCGGGCCTGATGAAGCGAAGACACAGTGGTCCAGTATTGGCTAAAGGTGTCAAAACGTTCTACACAGCTGAGGGCTCTGCTGTCACTCCAACGACCCCCCTGCAACCGAGTATATCCACCTGAACAAAGGAAGGATAGGAGGAACACAGCAGATCCCTTACAGCTAAATATGTAAATAGTAGTAAGGAGAAAAATCTAGCCCACTACATCTAGGCATTCAGTATTAACTACTTCAAAGAAAAGAATAAAGGCTTTATAGCCTGCCATATATATGTATTATTCTCCAATGTGCCAAGTTCTGAAAGATTATGGCTTAAATGCAACAAGTTAACCACAGTGCTCTACTACGTAGTCTTGGTTATAACAGAATATTAGATAAAACATAAATTTAGAAGCTGGTTATCTGTCTATTTAAAAAGTTTCATTATGATTTCTATTAGTGACTCTTTCAATTAAAAATAGTGAGTTAAAATTCTGGTTTGACTGCACACCCCATCATTAAAAGAAGTTTACCATGCACTCAAAAATTACATATTTATATATCATAGCATACATAAAATTATACACTTAATTACATATATATAAATTATACAGAAAATGTTTATATATAAATTATATATGTAAACCTGCGCAATCTGTCTATATATATCAAATATTGATAAGGTTTAACGCTTTTTAAAATAAAAAGAGGTTTTACTATGTTTATCTGGTATGTCCCTGGATTATCTTGCACATCTTTACTTTAAAGACCACTGGTTCCTATCATTCCTAAGAACCATATAAGATACTGTGAATAGTTAATATTTTTGAGGTTTATTTTCCTTGTATTTCACTAAAATTCAAATGTTCAATTCTTAAAGTAATATTCCTTTAGTTGGTTATTGACAATAATTGAATAATCTAAGAACCCAAAGATTTAGATCAAAGAATAATAGATGTCAGATAAGTCGCTATTTTATTCTTAGATGTGTTCACTGTATTATATAACCACAATTTATAAATCTGTAGCCTGTATTTCTATTTGACACACCTGAATATTTGGACGTGTATAATAACAACGAAACATTAAAAGGTTCTGATCCTAAAATAGAGATAATTTCTATTACTTTTTAAAAGGCTCTTACCTACTGCATACAGGTACTTCCTTGCTTTCTTCCGAGGTCGAACCTTAGATGTTTGCAGAAAACTACAAAACTTGTTCTCTTTGGGAGATCTGCACACTTCACAGTACTCTTTCAAAAGTGTTTGCAATGCAACACGAAGATTGAAATCAGATACTCCTAAAGCAGTATTTTAAAAGATAATGTTTAACCAACTGGTAAATAATATTGAAAAGACATGCTTACATAAGATAAAACACATTTAACAATTAAAAAAATAAAAACTCATCATCAAGTCCTGGCCAGGTAGCTCAGTTAGAGCATCATCCAAATACGCCAAGGTTGTGGGTTCAATTCCTGTCAGTACACGCGCAAGAACCAACCAAAAGCCCTAAGAGGAACATGTCTGGGTTGCAAGGCCATCCATAGTTGCGGCACAGGCAAGAGGCAACTGATTGATGTTTCTCTCAGACATTAGTGTTTTTTTCTCTCTGTTTCTTCCTCCTTCCGCTATCTCTAGAAATAAATAAATAAAATCTTTTTTATTTACTTATAAATAAAATTAGAAATAATGCAACAAATCGATTTCTTTCTCCCTCCCTCTCCCCTTTGCTCGCTCTGTAAATTTAATCGATTAAAAAAACTCATCATCAAACAATGGTGTTTGTTTTCTACAATACTAAATATTTTTCTCATTGCTATTAAAAAAGTACTTTCCTTAAATCAAAGGTTGTTTTTAAAAATATGCTTCATAATAGGCAATTTGAAAATACATGTATGAGAATTTCCAAAGAAAGATGGCAAGGTGGAACAGGATCACAATTATCTAATAAAATGAAAAATATAAAGTGGTCCAAAATTCTATACATACAACCTAGTAACAAAAGGATATAAAATTATGTAATAAGCTTTCAAAAATGACAGTTAAAGCAAAAAATAAAAGATCTGTTGGAATGAGGTCCATTTCCCAAAAAGACATTGAGCGTGATTGTGTAGGTTGTTCCTGCTCAAGGGTGCTTAGTTGAGGAGGTGAATTGGGGATGAAAGTCAACCTGTGTACCACTTGACAAGCTCTAAGACCCCCTAAAAGGGCACTATTTTCAAATTTGCATAAAGGTACCATATGTGCTAGCAAGGGACTGTCTCCAAGCTTTATCCTTACATCCCAGAAGCAATATTGAGGAAAGAAGGTCAACTAACAAAACCTTAAGAAGTCTCACTAGTAACTAATAATTTGGAGAGAGGTAGAGTAAGCAGGTAAGAAGCCAAACTGTGAAGTCAAAGACCAAAAATCATGAAAAGGAAAGTCCCTTAGAGCACCATCAGTAAACACAGAGAGGATCACCAGGGTTTGCCAGCTAAGAGAGCACAGTACTAGCCAAAGTCTTTGTGAGATACATACATGGCTGGATTAAGTAGGCTCTGACACAGATAAATATTAGGATTTCGTAAGAGAGAGCTCAGGGCCCAGGTCCCCAAGGAAGGACCCCAGCCTTAGCAAATCTCTATTCTTCCACCACTCTCATGCCTCAGGCTAGAAAGAAGTGGTGAGGACACAAAGCACAGCTCTTAAATTTCAGATGGGAGAAACAAAGTAGTTAAACTAAGTTTGAAAGGAAAAAAAATGACAAAAAGATAAACTAAGGTAGAAAGGGTATCAAGGAGAATTAACTCTTACATTTAGGCAAACAGGTTTGATAGAGCTGCTCATGTTAAGTATGAGCAACATATCAAAAAACAGCAATACAGGTATTAAAATATATCCCAAGAAAAAGAAGAGAAAGAGTCTGAAGAATTTAGCCTGGAAGAAAATATTAGCCACAGATACAAACTCCCCATAAATGCGTCACAGTATAGAATTATTAAAGTTGAATTATTAAGAATATAAATCCTATGAAAAAAAGAGCTCAAAGACAGAATGAGTTGCAATGATAAGGAATCAAAGTGAGAACTGAAATAATAGTATTGCAAATTCTGTAAATTAGAAACAAGAAACACAATAGATATGACTCAAATCGAATCAGCAATTTGAAAAAAAAACGAGAAAACTGCGAATACAGCAAAGGCGAAATATTTTAACGTTAGATGATAAATATAAAACACAAAGAAATTTCAACAAAAGAATGAAAACTAGCTAATGAAACATTAAAAGTATGCAGAGATTTCATTTAGGAAAATTCCCCCCAAATGAATTGAAACCAAACCACTGAAAAGAAAAAGGGTATATGATATAGTTTAATAAAAAATAACAAACTTTTACAAAAATTAAGAATGAAAAAATAAATGCCATTATCATTTCCTATTAATTTTAGGATATTTCAGAGAATATATTTAGCTTTCTATTTGCTTCCTGAAATAACTGATCAGTTACTACTAATTAATAAAAAAGCAAGGAGAGCTAAGGTTTTGAAATTATGAAACTATTCTCATAGTTCAAAAGTATGCCTGGGTGCTAATCTTTTATGAGTTGATATAAATAAATCTTTTGGAAAAAAAAAAATGAAAGAGAATTCTTTGGTACTCAAGCACAAAAAAAGGTAGTCATTAAAAAAAAGAACCAAGCTTTCAAAGTTTGAGGGGGAGCAGAGAGGAGTATCATTTTATAACTTAGAATATTATGCTCACCCAAATTGCTGTTAAATTAAAAATATATCAGGCAGAAATTCTCAAATATGAAAAGAATTCAGGAAATACAATAACCACGAGCCTTTCTCGAAAAAAGTACTTGGTAATAAAATCCAGACAATAAAGTGATGAATCAAAGAAAATTCAGGAATAAAAAGACTATGACTGAAAAACTTGTAAAGAGCATCAAATCCATCTAAATACACAACAAAGCACAAAGCTAAGAGAATCATGATTGCAAAAATATCTATATAAAGGTATAGATCTTGAAGAGGGGGTAAGAAGAAAAATAAGAATGCTAATTACCTCATTTTCTTAGCATAGAGTCTAGACTCTATGCTAAGTTGAAAACTGAAATGCAAAATGAGACTATGATTTCATCTTTTAGTGTCTTTCATCTTTTGTCCTTAACTTTAATAAATCTTTTTAGAATGAGTATTTCTTAGGATAAACATTTATCTGAAATTACTGTATATTGCTGTGCATAATACACACTTTTTTGCCCATATTTTTTAGGGAAAAGTAAGGATGAGCATTATATATGGGTGTAATGATTACATATCATGAGTATAATAAAGGGTATAATAATCTCATGTATAATGTGCACAAAACTGTGAATGCACATTATACATAGCAAATACACAGTAGCTATTGCTTCAGCTTCTTTGTTAACTTTTAGTGAGATTTTAAGTACATTTTTATATATAAATAGTGTATATAGAATGATTCTTATTCTTTTTTAAGATTTTATTTATATATTTTTAGAGAGAGGGGAAGGGAGGGAGAAAGAGAGGGTGAGAAACATCAATGTGTGATTATCTCTCAAGCTCCCCTTACTGGGGACCGGGCCTGCGACTCAAGCACGTGCCCTGACTGGGAATCGAACCAGCTACCCTTTAGTTCACAGGCCAGCACTCAGTCCACTGAGCCACACCAGCCAGGGCACAGAACAGTTCTTATTATAATTTTTCTTTCATCTATTTATCTAACCCTATCCAAGCTCCTATACAATGATATCTGAATGTTAATTGTAACTGGTTATTCCTTGGTGATGGACTTGGGGTGATTTATTTATTTTTTTATATTTTATTACCTAAACTTTTTATAAAACCATGTACCATTTAAAAAATTTTATTTATTTATTTTTTTTGAAAGAGGGGAAGGGAAGGAGAGAAAGAGGGGGAAAACATTGATGTGAGAGAGAGACATCGATCGGTTGTCTCCCATGTACTCCCAACGGGGGATCTGGCCAGCAACCCAGGCATGTCCTGCCCAGGAATAGAACCAGTGACATTCTGGTTTGTGGGATGATGCCCAACCCACTGAGCTACACCAGTCAGGGCAAACCATGTGCCATTTAAAAAAAGTAATTCTCTAAAATCCAAGAAATAAGTGTGTTATCATATAGCTAATAATATTTAATTGCCCAAATTGTTCCAGTAATAAACACAGTATTAATATACACCAAGGGCAAAATCTACACATTTCACATAACATAATTTAACCATTACAAGGAAGGCTTCTGCTATCTCTGAATTTTGTGGTAGGGTCTCAACACATTTTTACATTGATTGTCATTTCTCCAATGTGATTAAAAAGTTTCAAATTTGAAAAATCTTAAGGCTGCCATTTATTTATTAATTTATTCTCACCTGAAGATATGTTTATTTATTTAAATTTTTTATTGAGAGAGAGAGGAAAGGAAGGAGGAAGGGAGAAACATCAATGTGAGAAACATCGATTGGTTCTCTCCTATACACATCCTGACTGAGGATTCAACCCACAACCTAGGTATGTGCACGGACTGGGGATCAAACCTGCAACCATTTGGTGTATGGGACCATGCTCCAATCAATTGAGCAACCCGGCCAGGGCTTACGGTTGCTTTTTAAAAAAATCCTCCACTGACTTCTCCTTTGATTTTTTGCAGTTTTCCTCCAGTGAAATACCTTTAGGTGGTAACTATTAGGCATGCTTATAATAAGCAAATCAAGACTGGGCTATTATAATACTAAGTTGTAGGAAGATACGCCAGTTTTGGGGAATATTCCTTTGCTCCTAGCAGAGAAATTTTTCTTTAGCATGCTGTATCTAAGGCACTTGAAAAAAAACCTAACTCAACCATGAAATCTTTTGTCCTACTCCTAAATTCTCACATGATTCATGCAAAAAATGTGTACGGATAATTTCCCTCTTCTTGTTTTGGGTTAAGCATGGATTTATGGATTCTTACTTGTGAATATATCTACTCCCTATAATGTTATTTGTAACCCAAATCAATACTCATGGCGCTTTTCTGGTCATTCATGGATGTGCCACAGAGTGGCAAAAAATGTGAATCACCTGACATGAATGTTCCTAGGTGAGACTGAACAAGATGATACTCTATCTTTTGTTTCAATTCTCATACTGTAAATGAGAGTCCTTTTCAGATTAGTGCTATCTTTTTCACACTTTTGAGTTCTTTGTTGGTGATTTTGCTGTTTAAAATGCTTAAGTGCTGTCTAGCATTCCTACGTGCCAGAAGGCTGTGATGGCCTTACACAGAAAATGTGGGTGTTAGATAGGCTGAACTCAGGTATGAGTTATAGTGCTTTTGGCCATTAGTTCAGTTAAAGCATCAGCAATATATAATAAAAAATAAGTTGTTTTGACAGAAATATACATAAAACAGGATTATGTACTGATCATTTGACAAAAATGTCATGACTAGAGGTTTGTAAAAATTTACTCCATGTTTCCCCTAGGAACAATGGCTTGGTATTTGCCAATTTAATGTTTATGGCAACTTTATAGAACATAACTACCGTGAATAATAAAAATTGATTTATATATGAATTAAAATAAGATGTCACTAAGAAAACGTACAAAATTCTGTTAATACTGTTAAGTTATAGTGGAGAAAATATTAAAATCCACATTAAATATAATTCACAGAATTACACTCTTAATTCTAATAGTGTATTTAATTCTTAAGATCTTTTATAATTCAGTCACACCCTAAGTTTCATTGCAGGACAAGAGTAAAAACTTCAAATCCTGAAACCATGTCTAAAGTAGTTTTTAAAAATAAGTTTAAATATTATCATTTTTTCTACTATAAAGATAAAAACTATTTTATACTATGGTGAAAAGTATTTTCAAAGTTTAGGACCTAAAGACGATTCAAAGGCTACTTAGGAGCTATGATATCATATCAATATAAAGCTTATTTTATAATGGGGACTTATAGGATTTGTTATGTTTAGGTTTTGGTTTTAGCATATGCATTTCCCTCAAATGTTAGATTTTGCTGACTTTATTTTCTATTAAAAAAATAACTGGCTTTATTTAACAAATTTATTTATATTAATTAATTCATTTTTTTATTTGAGAAGGGAAGGGAGGAAGAGAGGGAGAGAAATATTGATGTGGGACAGAAACACTGATTGGTTGCCTTTTGCACCAGGAACCAAACCAGCAACCTAGGCATGTGTCTGGACACCCAACCCACTGAGCCACATGGGCCAGGGCTTTGCTGACTTTTTAAAAGTGACAGGATACCTGGCTAGTGTGGCTCAGTGGGTTGGACAGTCATTCCATGCACTGAAAGGTTGTGGGTTCGATTTCTGATCAGGGCACATATGTAGGTTGCAGGTTTGGTATCTGGATGGGGTGCGTGAAGGAGATAACCTATCAATGTTTCTCTCCCTCTCTGTCCCCCCCGCTTCTTCTCTCTCTGGAATAAATTTTTTAAATAAAATTATTTATTTATTTTTAGAGAGAAAAGGAAGGAAGAAGAAAGAGAGAGGGAGAGAGAGAGAGAAACATCAATTTTGGTTGCCTCTCATGTGTCCCCCACTGGGGACCCAGCCCACAACCTAGGGATGTGCCTTGACTGGGAATCGAACTGGCACTCCTTTGTTTGCAGGCCAGCACTCTATCCATTGAACCACACCAGCCAGGGCTGGAATCAATTTTTTTTAAAAGTGACCAGGAAATCTTACACTGAAATAATTGGTACTGCCAAAAGCAGCAGTATCTAAGCTTAGTCAGTAATTTTATCTATAACTCTCATCTCCATTAGTATTTAATCTCAAGAAAAGTACATAAGAATTTTATTAAAATAAAAGGTAGAAATATGGAAATACTACTGTCTACACACAAACACAAAGGTCTGTATCTTGGCATACAGTAATCATTCAATAGATGTCTGCTATTCAACTGAAAAATAAAAACACTATCACATTTCAAACAGAAAAAGCCACTGGATAATTGACTAATCTGATATGGAACAGAAAAAAATTACCTTCTATATACTTCAAAAGCCTCTGAGGAGGTAACAAAGGGAATCGAATTGGGTCTAGCACTTCCACCACATATTTTTTTCTCTTTCCCAGATCTTTGAGAATCCATTGCATTGCGGCTAAGAACACTTGGTATTCATCCTCAATGGTAAGCTCTTCACTTCTCAAAATTTTGATCAGTTGATCTTTTGTAAGTGCCAGGAACTCTTCCCCACTCTGAACATCTAAGAAATGGACATGAATGTAGTTTTCCGTGAATTCCAAAAGATCATGGCAGGCAATTTGCTCAGAGAACTGAAAGATCCCAATGCAGTTCAGTGGATCAATTTGTCCTTTCAGAAATTCACAGCAAAGATGAACAACTTCAGTCAATTGTAGCATGTCTGCTGCAACAATCAACTCCTGGACATTATTCACACTTATGTTCACTATGCCTAGGGAAACAGGAAGACAAAATAACCAGTACAGTAAAGTAAAAACAAACATTTGGCTTATATTAAAAAAACATTATATTTGATTCCACTGATTGTTAAGTAAAAAGCAACAAAGGATTTATAGAAAGGGCACAAAACTTAAATGATAATGATACCTAACATTTATGGAACACCTACAATGAACCAGACACAGCATTAATTGCTTTATACATTCATTTAACCCTGACTACAACCCCATAGAGTAGGTATTTTTTTCTTATTTTTGTATTATGAAAACGGAATCAGAAAGTTTAAGTAACTTGTCCCCAAGTCACATGGTTAAGTGAGTTAAGGGTAGGGACTGACACCAAAGTCTGTGCTTTCAACATAAGCCTATCTGTGTTTACCAAATGTTTACTTAGGCACTGGGGAAGGTAAGACGGGGTCTCTATCTTCAATTATGATAAAGTGCCATACAAATGTTTAATATTAGTTATAACCATGAGTCTATAACATATGAGAAGTTATTAATACTTCACATTTAAGGAACTATATATACCACTTTGTTTCCAGACAACTTCGTTTTCATATATTTACATAATGACTTTGGAACAACATCAGTTAATTATATTTAGAAGGAAAAAAGAAACAACTGTAATTCTCTTTCCTAATACAGATAAACTCTCCATTCAATTTTGTATTTTCCCTTTATCCCTTTTATTCCCATTCACTCCATTAAACTATTTGCCTAAAATTTGTATTCCCAATTAGATTTATAAAGTCTGTTGGGGTGAGGCTTGCCCCTTCTGTATTTCCAATGCCTGGCCCACACTAAGTGCTCAAATACTTGTTTTCAATAAATGAATGGCCAAAGAGATTATGGTGAGAGGAAGGATATGGTTTGTTGAATGCACACAGGGGGTTCTCCAAAAGTATAAGAAGTCAAATTCAACATGGGAGTAAATGGTAGTGGCTTCAGGGAAAACTAAGATAAGACTTACTTGAATAAAATGAGAACTCACCACAAACTTGGAGAAGATCAGATCATGGGTTGTGACCTAAGGGGGAGGGGGGTGAATGACTGCTACTGGATAAAGCCAAGAGTAATAAAAAGAATGTCCTCGAACTGAATAAGATTTTATAGATTACAAAACGTACCCTTACATTTATGATTATTAAAACTTATCTCATTTATCGTTCACAAGAATTATAAAGTGCTGCTTTATAATTCCCCACTTTACAATAAGGAAAATGAGGCTCTCACAAACTCATTTCTATTTTGTAAATATATAATCTGCGTTACCTAGAAAACTCTGTGAAGGCAGAGGCCATGATTGTCTTGTTTACTTTATATCCTAGTGCCTAACTCAAAAGTATCCATGAATATTTGTTGTAAGAATGAATGAATAATTGACTAAAGTTAAATGAAATCCCTTGTATCATATAGCTAATTAATGGCAGAGCTAGATCACAATCCAAGGTTATTTGATATTAAATAAAGTGCATAAAAATCTAAAGTGAGGAATATCTGTTAAGACCTATTAGAACTGTAAATGGTTAATAAAGAATGTGTAGACAAGTCCAAAGGAGATATCAACAGAATAACAGATTTTACTACCCCCACATCTCTCAAAAAGGAAATGCTATTTCCTTTTTGATCCAGTGAAATCAAAGATCATGTTTTTTTTTTTAAACTAATTGTATCAAAGACTACAAAGTTCCCTGACTAATAAATACTAAAAATTCATTTTCTTTTCATCTTTACTAATAGAAACTTGATTTTGGGTGGCAATTGTGCCCAGCTGAAAATTACCTTTTTTAGCCTCCCTTTGCAGATAGAAGTTAAATTTTTGACTGAGTTTGGCTAGAGGCTATAACCTATAGATGGTGGAGCAAAATGTTAGAAGAATAATGGGACACTAACTACATCATGAAGCCACCATACCAGCCTTGAAATTACTATGGATTCATTTTTGTGGAAAAAATAAACTCCTATCTTGTTAAGCCACTTTATATCTTTTACTAGCAGCCAAACACTGTTCTGAACTGTTATACCAATTTTAGGCTTAAATCTCAACATTGCACAATGTTATTTACCCCTAGATACACTCAATAGCTTTTATTTCCCTGGGTTTTGCCACTTTCTATTTCTTTGATGGAAGTGCTAATCACCAGCAATATGACAATGATGCCATGAACATTCTCTTTCACTACATATTTCTTTTTGCTACTATCAGACAACAGTGGCAGAATGGACAACTTGTGGTATTCTGTTTTTATGTAGTTTAACACTAATTCCACTGAATTAACGTGTTAATTTCTACTTTGCAAATATGACAAGTAGGGGTATTTATGAAGCAGTTTTCAGCTCACACAAGTCATTTAGAAAAGTGAGATCAAACCCTGGCTGGCGTGGCTCAGAGGACTGAGTGCCAGCCTGCAAACCAAAGGGTCGCAGGAATGAGTCCAAGTCACATGCCTGGGTTGCTGGCCAGGTCTCCAGTATGGGGCGCGCGAGAGGCAACCACACACTGATGTCTCTCCCTCTCTTTTTCCCTTCCTCTCTGTCTACAAATGAATTAATTAAATAAAATAAAAAATAAAAAGTTCAAAAATTATACAGATCTCTAAAAAAAGAAAAAAAGTGAGATCAAGAACCCCTCTTGTTAATTTGTACATTAGCCAATAGATATAGCTGCACTGCTTTCAGTAGATTGTCATTTTTACAATCCTCCAATTAAAAGTTATTTTCTGAAATTTTCCAAAAACAACACAAAGAAAATGCATTAAATAAGAAACACTTGCCCTGGCTGGTGTGGCTTAGTAGACTGAGTGCCGGCCTGTGAACCCAAAGGTCGCTCATTCAATTCCCAGTTAGGATACTGGCCTGGGTTGTGGGCCAGGTCCCTAACTGGGGGCATACAAGAGGAAACCGACACATCTATCTCTTACAAACATCGATGTTTCTCTCCCTCTCTTCCCCTCTCTCTAAAAATAAAAAAATAAAATTAAAAAAAAAACCAAACACTTTATCAGACCACATAATTATCTCCTTGAAGGAGGGCATGGTGTATTCCCCAAACTAGACCAAACAGTCTTCGTTTTCCAACTATTTTTTTCCTGATTATAAGAATATGTATTCACTACAGAAAAAACTTTAAGGTAAAAAAATATAAAAGTGAATATGAAAATCACATATTTTCCCATGTACATATACTATTAACACTTTATTATATTTCTTTCAAATCTTTTTTCCATGTATAATTATCTATGTTACATATCATATAAGACTTATAACTTTATATATAATTTTGTGTGGATTTTCCATATCATTAAAACTCTTCAAAAAACATTTTAAAAGTAAACGTTTTGATTAAAATACAAGTTGATTATAAAATTTTGAGGGGAAAAACAGAAAACAAAGGATAAATAAGAATCTTCCATATCCTATCACCTAGGAGGTAAACATTAATCCTCGTCTTTTTCCTGTGGGCAAATACGCACAAATGGCCCTGACTGGTATGGCTCTGTGGGTTATCCTCCCGCAAACTGAGGGGCTGCCAGTTCAGTTCCCCATCAGGGCACATGCCTGGGTTGCAGGCTAGGCCCCAGGTTGGGGGCATGCAAGAGGCAACCAATCGATGTGAAAGAGAGGGAGAGAAACATCAAAAATCATTTATTTTTAGAGAAAGGGTAAGGAAGGAAGAAAGAAAGGGATAGAAACATCACCAGTTGCTTCCTGCACCCCCAACTGGGGGTCTGGCAGACAACCTTGGCATGTGCTCTGATGGGGAATTGAACCATCAACCTTTTGGTTTGTGGGACGCCTGACTCACTGAGCTATACCAATCAGGCCCACACACAAATGATTTTTTTAAAACAAAATTGAGGTGGTATTTCTATTCATATTTTCTTCATTTAATATATTGCAAACATTCTTCCATGATAGTACATATTTAAATCATTTGCAAGATCTAAAAAATATTCCATTATATATACATATATCATAATTTTTTTAACTATATAACCTACTGAAGGATAATTAGGTTGTATTCAATTACATACTATTATAAATAAAGTTACTATAAACATCCCAGTACAGAAATGTTTCACTAATTAGTTCCTGTATCACTAATTAGTTCCTCAGGATTCCTAAAAAGAAAAAAGAATATAGTGTCAAAAAATACCAACTTTTCAAAGACTCATAATAACATATTGTCAAATTACATTCCATATATGTAAGATCAATTAAATTTCCGTAGCCGTACATGAGTGATTGCATCATTCTCCACTTAAAGCTACAGGCTTACCTAACATACCTGTGTAAATGAAATCTAGAAGTATTCGAAATATTCCAGCTTCAATTCCTAGAATCTGTACGTCATCTTTTGAGGACTCTTTCATTCCTCCAGTGAACAAAGCGGCAAAGTAAGGACTACTGGCAGCCAGAACCAGCCGATGAACTTTAAAAGTTTCTTTCCCAACTTGTAGTTGCACATCACAGAAATGCTGTCCATTCCTCATTTTATTGATCTGGGCCAAGATGAGTTGGGCATGTTTGTCTGATGAAAAAGAACTATCACCAGACTTGGGACAGCCCTCATTAGCCATGATAATGACAAATTAATTTAAAGGACTGCTGCCCATAATCTGGTCCTACCCTGAAAAATAAAACAGAAAGATATCAAACAACATATTTTTGTGTTTAACATGTCTTGTATTCATATACATATGAAACAGTCCCCATCCTCAAGGATCTTACAGTCTACTTAGGGACATGAAACACACATGAAACAAATAAGGACTAAATTGTGTGGTACCATTCCTATGGTTTCAGAGAAAGGAATAAGTAATGGAGTCTAAAATAATTGGAGGACACTTTACAAAAGAAATGGCCTGACCTGAAATGGATACTGAATGATAAAAACTATGAGGACAGGGCATTAACCATTCTGGGTGCAGTAAAGAAAATAAGGAAAGACACAAAGACAGAAAGAAGTATTTGTACACTGCAGTAAGAAAGCACACATTGCAGCCAGAATGAACTTACAAAAAGCAACTGTAATCAGGGCAACTGTCTGCTTGGAATCCTTCCATTTGTACACTTTCCTTAGCACAGAAAGCCCTTCAAATCACACCTCTGTCTACCTATCCAGTCCTAGATCCTATACTCTTTGAACTTAATACTCCAACAAAACCTAACAATTTGCAGTTCTCTAAAAGTGACGCTTTCATGGCACCCTTCCCCACCATTTCCTTCTGGATCTTTGTTATAATTCAAGACTGTCTTTGAAGGAAATACAATTTCCTTCAAGAACGCTTCCATTTTCCTTTCTCCTCTGGGTTTGGTGCTCACCCTAAACTTACCTGTTTTATAGCCTTTATCACACTCTATCTTTTCAGACACTCAATCACCCTACTCCCTACTTTCTTCTCTGAAAGTTCCTTGAAAGACAGCCCCTTAAATGCAGGGAATATCTTTCACAGATACAATCTAACATATATTAGGTTTTCAAATGCTTGTAAAATTAATGAGTACAATGAGAAATAACAATAGCATAAGTTGTTTTTGTTTAACTCTGATAGCTTTTCTACACATTATGCCAACTGGAATTCTCACAATAATTAAAAGGCTGGGAGAAAAGATATTGTTATTCAAAATGAGAAAGAAGGAAACAAGCTCAGCTTCCCAAGGACACAAGGTTAGTGCAATGATTATCAAAGACATAATGCAAGTTACTTTTTGAGCAAAGAAACCATGTGATTCGGGAATATACGAAATAAGGAGATGAAGCACAGGGGAAATCTAAAATGACTAAGATTTTGTAATTTAAACATCAAGGAGAATTGCTAATAAGGCAGACAGGAATCATGTGGGCTGATGTTAGAAAAACGTGGTTAAGTTTATTGCATCCAAACTTACCAAAGTAAAAATAAGCTGATTATCATAATTACCTAGGAATTAATTTGAGAAATTTGAGGAGTTGCAAGGTGGCTGCTAAAACTTCACATCAGTATCTACAGAATGTCAATATAGTACATTTAACTGGCATATAAATCCCTACATAGAAATTTGACCTGCAGATACTATTAAACATGACCTGGCTATCAGCCTTTATTCTGTTCTAGATTTCTTCCTGCCAGCAGATGTTTTGACCTCGGTGGTCTAATTACAAGGTATCTTCAAAGCATCAGGCACAGTCACTGGGCCTAAAACGCTGCCGCCTGCTACTAAAAAGAGTTCACTGAATATCCATCCACTGTGGTAGCAGACGGCAAAGTTGTAATTTATTACCACGCTTTTTACAAACTACTGATACTATCCCAGTACCAGTCGTGTACTTCGTTTCAAAAGGCGCACGTCGTGTGACTGAATTTCCACAGGTAAAGATCATAATTTTGGGACCCTGCACAGGGATGTAAGAGACCAGCATCATAAGACTCAAACTTGAAAGGCAGATTATTAGGAAACGGTGGAGCAGTCCAGAGGAAGTAAAAAGACCTATGTTTGGTGGCCTCGAAGACCATGAAAACTCCTTCAGCAGAGTGTCAAGAAGAATCCCAGGACAAGCAAGCGTCCAAACAAAACCACGAGGCTCTTTGTGCCAGATTTGAGAGCTGGACCTGGAGAGTTCCCTTAAGCTGCTGCGACACTGAAGGCGGATAAACATTCGGGCACTATCTAAGGCGGGGAAAGCATCTCAGGCAGATCTAGGGATAGCAGACTGGCGGGGGGCCTGGGCCTTCGCATTCTCCGGTGGAGGTGGAGAGCGGACCGGACCAAACGAAGCCCGGGTGAGGGCGAAACACATCGACTAGCATAGGTATGCCTCAGCGGCGGGAGAAAACCGGATCCAGAGGCTCCTTTTCCTCCTCCTCAGGGTTTCCGAGAGCCGGAGAGGGCCCTAGAGCAAATTCCCATCCCCGTCATAAATGCACCCTGAACACAGGCCCTTCTTACCCGCCACTTCCCCTTCCCGCCGGCGCCTGCTCAAGCTCTGCGTGCACAGTCGCGACCAGCGCCAGCTCGGAGAGGGCGGGGGAAACCTGGTGGGGGTGACAAGGCGGGGATGACAGAGCCTTGCGCGGTTGATGGCGGAGACGAGGCGAGGCGAGGCTCAGCGAAGGGTGCCTCTCTCGCTTCGCCGGTCCGGACCGGTCAGCGCGTGCGCAGTGCTCTTCCGCTCGCGGGTTGCTACGCCTCCGCGGCTCGCGCTGCTGCCGCCGCAGGCTACCGCTTGATTCCCCTCGGCTGCGAACCGCCCGCGAACCGCCAGCTGCAAGCAACAGTTCCTTCCTGTGGACCTCCAGGGCTCGCCCTTTCCCTACCACGACGCAGTCTCCATTCTCGTGGCATCCAACGAAGCCAGCGAACCTCAGTGCCAAGGAAAGACAGAGACCGAACATCCGGCAAGGAGCTTCTAATTTTTCTTAACTTAATGCTTTTATTGAAATAAAATGGATTTATAACAATTTCAGGTGTACAATGCAACGATGTGATATTTGTAGCTTCTCTCTATTTACCAGATCCTAGCGCTGTGAATGGATGTCTACTTTGAAGGAAAGGAAAACAAAACGTCCAGTTCTTGTCACCGTAGAACTTCATATGTCACATTAGTGGCTTTCAAACTTTTGACACCAGCCCACAGTGAACAAAAACATTCTACATCAAACCCAATAATACCACATGTGTGTATATAAATGAATATACATGAAACAAAAACTTCACAAAACGTTTTTAAACATTTTTTTTCAATTATTTATATTCAGTATTGTTTTGTATTAGTTTCAGGTGTACAGCATAGTGGTTAGACAATCATGTACTTTAACAAAGTGGTCCCTGGGTGATGTTCAAGAACCCACCTGGCATCATATATAGCTATAAACTATCATTAACTGTATTCACAAAATTGTATACTTACTACTAGCAATACACTAAATTTCTATTTCTTTTTGGTTGCATTACCAAAAAAAAAAAATGCTAAGAAGAGACTCATTATCAGGAAAAAATTGTCAAAGACTTGGAAATGAGCAAAAGAGATTGCTTGGTGTCCTTTCAGTGTTAGCCTGGGCCTTGTCTAGCAGAAGCTGGAAGGATTTGAATCCACAGGGACCCCTGATTTTCTATTGACTAAGTTATTTTACAAGAAAATTGATATTTAAAATAATTGTTGCCTACTCTGTAGGAAAGATACCCAAAACACTACATTATATCGACCTATGGGATATTAAATCACTTTTGCCTCTCTTAGCAAATTCATTTCAACATGTCTGATTCGTAGCAAATTTGTACAACATTCCTATAACATTTTCTGGCTCCCTCATTAATAAGAGAAATACTGTTTTTGATATATGTTTATTTTGTAGTTCTATGAGAGTCATGATTTTACCTTTCAGAAAATTATACTTCAGCACCACTAAAATTAATTTCACAATTTATTAATGGACTGCATCCAGCAATCTGAAAACCAGTGCTTTAGAGTATATACCTAGGAGCAGAATTGCTGAAACATACTGTATATGCGTTTTCAATTTCACTAAAAAATACCTATTTTTCCAAACTTTTTGTTCCAGTTTACATTTCTACCAGCAGTAAATGAGCGTTCCGTTACTCCACATCTTTGCCAACAATTCATATCACCAAATGTTTCAATTATGTATAACCCAGTAAGTATAAAATGGTATTTCATTTTTAAAAGTAATTTACATTTTTTGTTTATTAATGAGATCAGGTAGTAAAAATAAGTTGCTATGGACTAAATTGTGTCCTCCCCACCCAATTTGTATGTTGAAGCCCTACCCACCAGTGTGATGGTATCTGGAGTTGGGGAAGTAATTAGGGTTTGATGAGGTAGTGAGAATGGGGCCCTTATCATGGGATTAGTGCCTTTATAAGAAAAGACACCTGACTTTTCATGAAGATGGTTCCAAAATAGAGGAAGGAAGTTCCTGTCCCTTCCAAAGCCAAAGCAAAAGTAAAAGCAAAGTCTTTGAAGGCAAAGAAAGCAGTGTTCAAAGTCTCCCATAGCCACACAAAAAAATAGGATCGACATGTCACTCACCTTCCAAAGGCCAAAGACACTGTGGTTCCGAAGGCAGCCTAAATATGCTCAGAAGAGCGCCCCAGGGAGACACAAACTTGATCACTATGTCATCATCAAGCTCCTGCTGACTAGAGTCAGCCATGAAGAAGATAGAAGACAACAATACACTTGTGTTCATTGTGGATGTCAGTACCAATAAGCACCAGGTCAAACAGGATGTGAAGTAGCTCTATGATGTTGACATGTCCAAGGTCAACACCCTGATTCAGGCCTGATGGAGGCACATGTTCGACTGGCTCCTGATTATGATGCTTTAGATGTTGCCAAAAACACTGGGATCATCTAAACTGAGTCCAGCTGGCTAATTCTAAATATAAAAATTTTACACTGTAAAAAAAAATAAAAAGAAACATCTGAGAGCTTGCTTTCTATCTCCTCCTGCCCCTACCATGCACACAAAGGAGAGGCCATATGAGTACACAAGGAAATCATGTATGCCTACAAACCAAGAGAGAAGCCTCAGAATGAAACCTACCTTGTCAGCACCTTGTTCTTGGACTTCCCAGCTTCCAGAACTGTGAGAAAAGAATTTGTTGTTTAAGCAAATCAGTCTATGTTATTTTGTTATGGCAGTTCAAGTTGACTAATACATAACCCAATTAAGTTTCTTTTTCTGTAAAATGGCCATTCATGTCTTTCGTCCATTTTTCTATTGAATTTTTAAGTTTTTTATTGATTCTTAGGAGGTTTTTGATTTATATATATTTCCAATATTTTCTTCTAACTTGTGGTTCATCTATATCTTTTACTTAATGTCTCTTTTGATGAACAAAAGTTCATAATTTTACCAATTTGTCTGCCTATTTACTTATGTTTTGCATTTTTGGTATGTTGCTTAAGAAATTCTTCCCCTTCCTGATGCTATAAAGATGATATCTCATATTTTCTTTTGAAAGTGTTATATTTTCTTTTTTAATATTTCTTTACATCACTAGGAATCAATTTTTGTGAAGGGGTTTGGACAGGAATCCAGTTTCTTTTTTGTTTTTCCATATGTATAACCAATTGTCAAAACACTATTTATTGAGTAGTTCATATTTCCCCACTGATCTGCAATGCTAAGTCTCTCCTATATTATGTTTCCTTTTGGGCTGGGATCAATTTTGTATTTAGTTCCTGTGATCTATATGTCCATGCACCACTGTTTTAATTATTATTGTTTTGTTATAACTCATGATATCTGCTAGGACAAGTTTACCCATCTTGTTCTTCTTCAGCAGTGTGTTGGCTATTCCTGGTACTCTTGGTTCTTCCCTATAGATTTTAGGGCCAGTCTGTTAAATTTCACATACACATATATACATAGTAGGGGGGTTCTATTAGAATTGCAATAAAATCATATGACAATTAGGAGAGAATTAACACTTTATACTATTGAATATTCTTATCAATTAACAAAATTAAATTTTATAAAATTTTAAAGTTTTATGCTTTTATCCATAAGGGTTTTCTATGCATTTTATTAAATGTATGCCCTGGCCGGTGTGGCTTAGTTGGTTGGAGTGTCATACTATAAGCTGAAAGGTGGCCAGTTCGATACCGGGTCAGGGCACATACCTAGGTTGCAGGTTCGATCCCCATTGGGGTGCATATGGGAGGCAACTAATTAATATTTCTCTGTCATATCAATGTTTCTCTCCCTCAAAAACCAATTACAAAATGTCTTTGAGTGAGAATAAAAAAAAATTCATTCCTGAGTACTGTCTTTGTGCTATTATAAATTATATCTTTTAAAGAATTACACTTTATGTTTGTTGGGTACAGAAATGAAATTCACTTCTGAATATTGATTTTATAGACAACAACTTTGCTTAACACCCTTACTAATTTAAAAAAATGGTAGTTTTTATTTTTCTGTATAAATGAGCATATCATCTGCTCATATGACAGTTTTGTTTCTTTCTTTCCAGACCTTACACCTTATTTTTCATTTTCTTTTGTTTTACTTGGCTGGCTAAGATTTCCAGTATAAGGTTGATTGCAGAAGCAGTATAATATAGGAATTAATGCATAGACTTTGGAACCAAATGCCAAAGTCCAAAATCTGGCTCTGCCACTCTGAGATCTTGAGCAAACTGTTCAACTTTTCTTATAACTCAGATTTTTAAAGTTAAACTATGTCTAATTATTGTACATCACTTAATTGTTGTAAGATTAAATTTGTTAATGTATGTAAAATACCTCCAGGAGTGTCTAACCTTTTTTGCATCTGTAGGCCACACTGGAAGAATTGTCTTGGGCCACACATGAAATACATTGTGACATGTAATCACACAAAAAATCTCATAATGTTTTAAGTAAATTTACGATTTTGTGTAGGGCTGCATTCCTAGCCATCCTGAGCCTCATGTGGCCCATGGGTCGCAGGTTGGATACCCCTGCAGGTACCTGGTAACTATTAGCACTTTTAAATCATTAATAAAACAAAAATAATAATATCAAGTATCCTTCTACAGTTTGATTTTAAAGGACTGACTACAGTTTTGTTGATCTTTTCAATTACATCTTTGTTTCCTCTTCATTAATTTCTGCTCTAATGTTTATTATTTCCTTATTTTAGTTATTATTGAATTTGTTTTTGTTTTTTCAGTTTCTTAAGTTTTTTAGTTGCTTAGTTCCTGACTTTTCAGTCTTCCTTCTTTTAAAATATAAATTTAAGGCTGTAATTTTACCTTGTAGGTATTGCTTATAATGTAAACAGGAATGGTACCTCTGGGATTTAGACGAACAAAATAGCCCTGTTGGTTATAGTTAGTGGTAGAGACAGAGCTGACTGGGGAAAATAATTAAATTGCCTGAATAGTAGGGGTTAAAAGCTCAAGCCCTGTAATCAGAATACCCAAGTTAAACATTCAGCCTGTCTCTTACTAGCTGTGTGTCTTTTGGCTACTTACCTGTGCTTTAGTTTCTTCATTGGTAAAATGGAACAAATATCTCCTTTTTGGTGGTTTATAAGCATTAAATGAGTTAATGCATATTAAGTATTTATACCATTTTCAGGAGTAAACATTAACTATTTTTTTCTTATTTGTTTAGTC